TACGGTGCCATTTATTGTGACCCGTGGAAGCTTATTAGTCAAAAATAAAAGTCCTCTAAATCCTTGTCGGACGAGAACATTGCCCACCTACCGCAGTCATCCTGTCACAGTCAGCACCGCCTTAATGTAAAAATAGGTTACGTTTAAATTTAAGATTTTGTCTAGTAAATTCAGAAATCCAAAGTCATCCCAGTGTGTTAACCTGTGTTAAGCAGGGCACGGCCTGATATCACGCACTGATATTCCCCCCTTTCAGAGCAGCCGGGTCAAAGTACCGAGATTGAGACTACGGGGAAGTCAGGTGTGGATGACCCGAATTCTCTAAATATGGGCCGCAACGATATTAAAGGTTTTAGTTGTGGTCCTTGAGGTCTTGCATGATCAACATCCCTGGTTTATTCAGTCACGTGAGCAATTTTCTTGACACTCATTAATGTCAAACCAAATTGGGAAGATTGATCGGTGGTCAATGCGTAGAAATTCATTTAAAAAACATTGGTCAACTTGTGCTGGAGCAATTTCACACTCTATTTTTGGCGTTCCCCCAACTGGAGAATGTTCACATTAAATCAATGAATCTATTTAACGAGAATAGTAGAAAAGTACACTTCATTCCTTCTCTTTTGAGAAGTACTCTTCACTCATGCATAATTATTTCCTTCAAGTGAGTCTGTTGCGAATTTAATTAAAAGCATTATGTAAGTAAACAACGAATTTGAAAATTCGTTATGTTTGGTCTGTCGGTGTATACATTCTCTCGATGACATAATTCATTCGCATTCGTTTTCTCGGTTGCTTTTTGATGTGATTTTTATAAATTATTACAAAAGTTTTTAGTGACGATATCGGACAATGTAATTTACTACTGAGAACTATTCCCAACTTCTAAATGCACGCACTGATCTGTCGCCTCTGAGGCATTAACTGCTAAAGCACGGCTTATCTGTCACGCGGAACAATGCATTTTACAAAGCGCTCTTCGGAAACACTTAACTGTTTGACAACCTGTCAAAAAAATATCCTACTGGCCTGAACAAAGCATAATTGTGGTGAGGTATCGTTCTCTGATTAAACTCCACCATATCGTAATAGTGCACATGAGGAGAGGCTCAAAAGTGGGATCATATCTTATATGATTCACGCTGTGTCGAAACTAAAATTTCTTTATCGAGACTGGAGGTGGCCCAGGGCATCGTCATACGCTGCACCAGTGACATGCGGTCTGCGAGGATCAAGGATCCCAATGGTGGCAGGATTTTTGACACTAGCTTCAGAGCTAGTTCGAATTCAACCACTGCCTGGCGGATAAACTAGCGACCGACGGCTCAGATCGGTGGTTTTCCGTGGTTTCTCAGATCAGTACCGGGCGAGTGCACGAGTAGTACTCTAACCAACGGGCAACGAACCGCGCGCGATCTTTGCTTCCTTCTTCTTGTCCTATCCTCTCCCCTTTTACATTCACAAACACACTTACATGCACTACACTACCACACATGTCAGGAGCCTAATTTTTGTCCCGGCTGGGGGCGGTAGCCGACTGAAGGGAGAACGCCCGCAAACCGACTTACTAACGCTACTAAATTTTTAGTAGAAAAGAGTGTTATAAGTCTAGACCTATAAGAAATTAATGTTATGAAACCAAAATCATTTCTTTATGTGTCTTTATTTCTAGATTTAACAAATTCAACAACAAATGTGTGAAAACCTGCAATTATGTTAAGATGTACCAAAAAACGTCAAAACGTACGTTCAAAGAAGAGAATACAATTAAGTTAATTATTTCTTTCATTTTATAAAGAAATTGTAAATTAAACTATCCATTAAAAGAGGATCTTTTGTTTTCAAGTTGTAGCAGTGACTTACAGTGTCTGGCTAAATTTGGAGGCTAAGAATCGATATGTCAAATGTAGGTGGCTGCATGAGATGTAACATTCAAGATTCAAATAATGCCTTAAAGTTATCGGTGTTCGTAGCATGAACGTATGGAAGTCAACAGGGGTAGATTCAGAAAATATTTCGGATGAAGGGGAGACAATTTCAGTTCAGACCTCCATAAATATATTTTTTAAATAAAAATTTAAAAATGGTAACTTGAAATAAAAAAAATCTAGGTACGAGTATATTCACATCAAGAATACCTTTTGGAATGTAATCTATATATGGTAATTACATTGAATAAATTGAGTAATTTTTAATACTGGCTTTTCTGGGAGGGGCTTGACCTACATGCCCTCCAACCACTGAAAGCCAAACTCTTCAGATTCCTTTGCGTCTGCTCGAAAATGAGACATCGTTCGCACCATCAATTTTCGAGAACGGAAATGAGTTCAGAGACCTGAAAATTAACTTGCAAATGACATCAGTTGTGTCGACAAAAAAGAGAATAGATGGTGTTTGAAGGAACTTACAATGACTTTTTCGTAGCACTACATATAACGAAAGTTCTAGCCGTCCGAACATTCCGTACTTTGTAAATCAGATTTAAAAGTGAAAATACCTACGAAGTGCTACCCAAATTCGAGCATTCATTCCTTGAATTGATATGTGCGTTACATCATATAAGTCCGGTTCTGTGTAGGGGTAAACAGCTTAATATTGCTATGACTTTAGTAACAGAGTGTTATATCGTTGGGATTAAATTGCATTAAATATAAAATAATGCAATTCAGTTTCCAGAGATTCTTCACATCTGTGATCACGCTAGAGAGTGAGAGAACTCACAGGTACTAAACCTTCTCAAATTGTTGTTGGTACTTATATTCATTATTCAACTATGTATAATAAAATCGTGAGGAAGAGATTGTGGAACTCAACAAAACTTTCGAAGATTACACTTCTCCCCCACAGTCTTACTGTTCTTGGACGAAAAATAAATCAAATCACATTAAAGGTAAAAGGAGGCCCAAAAAAATATATTTGGATTCGGGTACCCGAGGGCCCGGAAACAAAATTTCATCTTGCCTTTTTTAGTTATGCACGATGGGTACATTTTGCACATGCAGCAGCCGATTTATTTATATCATGTGATAATTTCTTATAAATGTAAAGGATCACGAAGAAAAGAAAATTGCTGTTGATATCAAACTATTCTAACACTATTTAAAAATCAGAAAACTGCAATATTGAAGGTAATCATAAGCAGTGGAGCGTGCCACGTGTGTACTCGCAAGAAACAAAAGCACAATAAACCTACGTGTGTTATAGTGTACTTATATTTATCTACATACGAGAGGTTTTTGGTAAAAAAATTTGCAATTTTTTTTGTACACCCTGCACTGAAATGTTGAATACAAAATTTCAACCGTTCAAAACTTCAAATTTTGGTTCAACTAAAAACCTAATTTACTCTAACAACCCACAATAGTAGATCGTATCTCGCTTGTCCTGGATCGCAATAGCTCGGCGGTTACGCGTTGCTTCTGCAGAATCGTTGAGTGGGGAATCCTAGAAATCGAAATCAGACAGTGGCGGGATTGGACACTAATTACGTAGCTGGAACGAATTATACTAGTTTCTGGAGAATTCTAGTGTGAAACAGCTCTGATCGACACTTTTCCTTGCTTTCTCCGACCGTTTCCAGCCGACAGACGGAGACGACAAGATCATGGAATGCTCGATCTTTACTTCGCTATCCTTATTTCATTACCTCTCCTTACACATACACACACGCACACACTTAAATACACTACATCACCACCCATCTCGAGACATCAGCTGAGAGCGTGTCCTGGCTAGGGCGGTTCCGGGTTGAGGATGACACTGGAGGGGGAAACCCACAAACCGACGCGCAAATCGCCACCGGAACTCACGGGATATAACATGCAGTAGACATACGGGACTAAGTAGTTGACGCGCTCGCAATGTCATACATTTTTCCTAGAGCAATTCTGCGCCCACGTACGTTTGAGTGTATTCGATTCCGGCCTCAAAGTTGCTGTCAATTACAACCATTTAAAGCGAATCGTGTGAAAAGCAAGTAAAGAAAGAACTTTTACCTGTTCACCGAGTTTTAGTCCAGTCAAATGGTAGAAAATACGGGAACTTTTTGGTCTAGTTTTGAAATTTGATTCCTTTATGTTTTTTGGGCCACTTAACACGAAAATCATGTTTGTTGAAAAATGTTGCCCGAAACCCGATTTCTAAGCAGAAACCACCTATTTTCCTCGTTGCATCCGCTAAAATAAATTGTCCCAAATTTTAACTAAAACAATCATTTACATCTCGATGAAAATGACACCGAATTCAATTTCCAATTGATTTATAATTTAAGTAAATAGGGTAATAGCGTTATACGAACAATAATTAGCATTAAATATCAAAAACATTTGTGATTTAACTCATTTATGAAAAAGTGGAAACAGAAGAGAAATGAAGATGCTGGCAGATTCTCACAAACCTCTTAGTCACATTCAAACACACACACACACACACAATTGGAACTTCACAGAAATCGCCTTCGCGTCTTGGCAATTTGCGCCTTTTTGAACGCAACCTTAGTTACACAGGAGCATTTCGGTAATTAGTAACAGGCGTGAGACACTCGAATCATTCAGTCATCATGAAAAGTTGACAAACCGTAAAATTCTTGGCAGCGATAAATCGTTAGACTAGTTATATCATTATTAACCGTTATTCACGGTAGAATAACTGAGCTTACACCGGAGACGGGGCAGTTAATTTTTTGAACTTCTTAAACAATAGTTACTTTAAAACACTTTAGTCTCAAATATTATGTGGAAATTTCACACATCAAGCGCCCTCGGAAAGGTAATTCTGGTTACTTCTCCGATCAGATATGAACTTAGAGAGTTAATAATATCAATAAAAAATGGATGTTCAATGACGCACTCAAAATTATCTAAAAATTAGCTTAAAATTAATCATAACTCAAAATGGCTGTCTCGGAGCGTCTACGTACAATGCGGCGAGTGCCTTTTTTGCCTTAGTACATGACGCAGTGAACATGTCTTAGTTGTCAAAAGAAATCAAATTCTACTTACTTCGCTCTTTGCGATTCGTCACTTCGTTGGACGTCGAGGATAAATCGGTCGACGCGGCAGCTACCGTTAGCAGCGCACAAACAGCTACCTTCAGCCCCCACATTTTCGGGATGCCGACCACCTTGCCAGCGTCAGCTCTCCGATGCGACAGCGAGGACCCCCTGCACATGTACTGAAGACGACTGCAAATGTTCTTCACCCACAAATGACTTCTCGCAGAGGTCCGGGGGAAGACCTGAATGTTTAGGAGAGACTACGATGGACGGGTGTTGCCGAAAGTGGTCGCACAGCATCTGGAAGGGATTCTGCCGGTCATGGCGACTATTATACTGTCGGCCATCGACCTGTAATGGCCTGCAGACTTCTTGTCCTCCATCTGTTCCTCACAATGGGCTGGAGCGAAAAGGAGACCTTGGAACGCTAGCATTCTTAAGTCGTCGACCCTCTCAGAAGAGTTGTGGGCGGCGGGTTCTTCCGTGCACATCTGTGTCACGAGGACTACGGGATGTGACAAGATTTAGGCGCTTAAACCAACGCAGAGTTCATTTTTAAGTTTATTATACAACACAATTTAGTTTTGTATTGCCTCGCAGTTAATTTACGCGAAAGCAGTACGAATTCGAGCGTAGAAATAACTTTTACTGATTTTATTTTCACCTAAATTCTATTATTATATTTCTCTTTCTTTCGAAAAAATTCATGCATATAACTTTTTCATTTATTATACTTTTGAATTAATTTTTCCATTGAAATTAAGTTATTAATCTTTCGTAAATATGTTTATAAAATTAAAGCGAAAATATTGAAGCGAGAATATTCATTTATAAGTTTCCATCGGTTTTAAAATGTGTCCAGTTTTAAAGTAATAATAAATTCGATAGCACTCGCAGTAATTCAACTACTCAAGAACTCTGATGACAATGATGACTTACAATTCTGATAGAAATTAATCATGAGGAAGAGTATTGTACAGATGGTGGAATGCAAGTGAGGGAAACAAAAGAATCTTGTGAATCACAACGTAAATCCATTTTATTCTTCACAATTTCCGTGTAGAGTGACCGGGATTCAAAATCTGGTTCCTGGAGCTATCCGGTTAACTCAACTTCATTTGGCTTTCTGCTCTTAACGAGTATTAGGAAACTCTCGAAAACTTTTTTAATCGAGATACTTCCTATTGGAAGAATTCTCGATAAAAAGTCATCCAGTGATGCGACACTCTCAGAGGTATTTTGCGAAGTTGCTGGATACACACTTTTTTACATCATTAGCTAGTGATGCTACATCAGCACATACTTTCTCGCATTATCTGTAACAGCTCGCATTATTTGCAGCACATTTTACAGACAAGAAAGGATAATTTCACGTAGTGTAATTTCGTGTAGTGTGTGTCAAACGTCGGTAAAAAATGGCGCTGGTCCCAGTTCCTGCAAACTCTCTGTATTTTCTAAAATTGCTAAAAAATAACGGAAACACATGAAACTGATCAGCAAATTAAATTTGATTTGAGATCATGTGAAAAAGACACATGTTATTTGTGAATGAAATAAATACTGTTTTTTTATTAACTTGACCTTTGATACTGTTAATTGTATCGTTGTGGGTGAGAATGCAGATAATATTAACAAATTTATTTCACACTCGAAGAAAAACTTGACAATTAAGAAAATTACTTCGACTTTGGATTTACTGTAGATCAAGAAAAAATTGTGAAAGTTTTGTTAGAAAGATTGGGTGAATGATTCTCATGTTCACTCACCAGGAGTCATTGGAAATAAAATGGATGATGACAAAGAGTGTGCAAAAGTTCATATTAACACATGTAAAGAGATGTTGGGATGCTTGGGATACAAGGTAACAGCTACACGGCCATATATTTCTTATTCCCATAGAAATTATCACAATGCTTAACTGATCCAAGATTAATACGAGTACATTCACAAGCGGCCAAACGAGAACTAGGTTCTTAAGTGCAGAGGCGTCTCGTACTTAAGTTGCATGGTTGCACAACTCCTGGATAATTCTAGAATGGTTATTATGTATCAGGAATATATATTTTCCATTTAATTTCAACCAAAAGTCGAAATATTGCATCAATATCGATTTATGAAATCATTTTGAAATCATAAAGCCCTCGCCGAGCTCTCTCGCTGACGTTTATTGTAGCTGCAAGCTATGCAGCGCATCGATGTGTGACGTCACGTTTTTACGAACGTTTAAT